TTTAATATATATATATAGTATATTATCTATTATTACTAATATATAAGAATATATACAATAAAAACTATTATTTATACATAGTATATATAATGTATATTATATATATATACAAAACTATAATAAGTTATATTTAAAATATATAAAAGAATAAATATATAAGTTATATATAATAAGAATATAAAGATTAATCTTTAATATTAATATCGTATAATTCAGTATGAGGTAAATCATTAGTATATTTACGATTTAATTGTAAAGCTTTTAATTGAATTTCAACAACAAAAGCAACAATTAATAAGATTAAGAAGATAACAAGTATAACTAAACCATAAAGACCATTAGTATAAGGACTAATAACATAAGGTAAGATAGAAGAGATTTCTAAATCAAAAGGTAAGAATAAGATAGCAACAAGAATGAAAGCAACACTAAAAGCAGATCTAGATTGTTGGAAAGAAGTAAAACCACATTCAAAAGGACCATCTTTTTCAATATAAGAGTTACTAGTAGCTAATAATCAGTTTAAACCAACTAAAACAAGAGCAACAATAGGACATAAAATAAGATAAGCAGTAAACATTATGATAATATAATACTAATCACATCTAATAAGTTAAATATATAAACAAAATATGTAATAAAGAATACTAATAATATACTAATAACTAAAGCAATAGATTTATTAATAGGTTGACTATATGGAATCATTAAATTAGTAGCTAATTGTTTTATAACATAAGCATAATAATATGTAGCAATAACACTAAATATAACTATAGAAATAGCTTCAACAGTAAAGTTATATTTAATTAAACTTTGTATAACATAGAATTTACCATAGAAACCAGGTAGTGGAGGAATACCAATTAATGAAAAGAAACATAATATTAAACAAATAGATAATAATTTATTAGGTATAACTAATTGGTTAACATTAACAATAGGTGATCATTGACTATTAGGTTTAGTAATAAATTGATTACTAGCTAATAAACATAAGAATATTAATATATGTGTAACTACATATTGTATAATATAAATATAATATGATGGATCTTGTAAACATACAGGTAATAATAAATAACCAAAATTTAATATACCACTATATGCTAATATAGTTTTAAAATTAACTTGGAATAATGGTTTATATGCAGCTATTATAATAGATAAATAGAATACAATAATTAATAAATCAGAATGTATTAAATTAGAATTAGTATATATTCATGATAATATAGATACTTTAGCAACTATAGAGATATATCCAGTAATATAAGTAGGTGCATAATTATATACAGCAATACTTCATGAATGTAAAGGAGCTAATCCCATTTTAAATATTAAAGCTAAAACTAAAATATCTAAACTATCAAATAAACTACTAGCATTATGTATAGCATAATAATTAGTAATATCAGTAATATTACAACTACCTACAGTATTATATACAAAATATGAAGATAATAAAATACCAATAGAAGCAATACCTCCAGTTACAAAATATAACATACTACCTCTAGTAGCATTATAAGATTTATGATGAACTCCAGTTATAATATATAAAGAGTAACTTTGTAATTCAATTATAATATATAATAATAATAAATCATTTACCATAGGGAATAAAATTAAACCAATTAAATTAATAATAATTAATAAATATATTCATATTGATGAAATATCATAACGTTGTTTAACAGTAGTATAAATTAATAATAATAAAACTAAAATAATTTGAAGATAAACTAAAGGAATATTAGTATCATTAAGTTTAAATCAATCATTATAAATAGTAAATAAACTATATCTTAAATCAAGACTATTATAAGCAAGATAAAGGACATATAGTAATCCTAAAGATGCTAATCTATTAATATGATAGATATTAGCATGGTTAAAAGCGATATAAATAAGTAAAATAATAACTATAGAAAATAGCATAAGACACAAAGGGAATCGAACCCTTATATTATTATCCGTAGTAATATGTATTACCATTATACTATGTGTCAAATAATATATAATATTTATAAATAATTAATTATTTATTTATTAATATAACGGCCAATCAGTGAATCGAACACTGATCCTATAAAGGGACTATATAGCAAATAGCCTAACTGTACCAATAAGTAAAATTGACCAACGTACTACATCAGGCTCGAACTGACATCTCTTTTAGTGACATTAAAAGGCTTTACCATTAAGCTAGTAGTACTATTAATATATATATTGAACTGACACGATTCGAACGTGTATGACCTAGCCCAAATCTAGGGGACTTGCCGATTAGTCAACAATTCAATTAAATTATTATAATATACTTATTTTATTTATTAAACTCTCCTATATATAAAGGATATAATATATATATAAAAGGAATAATTATTTCTTTGTACCGATATAGTATAATATGTTTTCAGCTGAAGAAATAGCTGGAACAATTAATAAGTAGTAAGCAAAATAGAATGCAGTAGCATATTGTCCTAATTCAATATAAGGAACTTCAACATGTAGTTGACCTAAGTTACCTAATAAGATAAAGTTAAATAAGAATAAGAAGAACATGAATTTAGATAATACTTTGAAACTATTACCACGGATAAATGATCTATCAGTATAAGGTAAAGTAAGTAAGATTAAAATAGCTCCAAACATAGCTATAACACCACCTAATTTATCAGGAATACTACGTAAGATAGCATAGAAAGGTAATAAATATCACTCAGGAACAATAGATGGAGGAGTAACTAATGGGTTACCAGGTATATAGTTATCAGGGTGACCTAATGTATTTGGTGAATAGAATACAAATAAACTAAATATTAATAAGAAAACAAATACAGTAACTAAATCTTTAAAGATAAAGTAAGGATGCATAGGTAATCTATCAACATTACCAGTAATACCTAATGGGTTAGATGATCCATTAACATGTAATGCCATTAAATGCATACATACTAAAGCAGCTAAAATGAAAGGTAATAAGAAATGAAGAGCAAAGAATCTTTGAATTGTAGGATTACTTACACTGAATCCTCCTCAAATGATTATAAATATTATCCATACATTGTTTAAATATATGATTAACTAGTCTCCTAGTTATATAGACTATATCATCATCTTATTAATATTATTATATATATAATAAGATGTAGGGTTATCTTGGTTGGATTATTTTTATATTAATCACCAACTAGTCGTTGAACGTATCTATTTCTTTAACATATAAAATAGAATTCGCTGCTGATTGTCTTTACATAATAATATATAAAATATATAGATGTCCCAGCAATTTACCCTATTTACAAATATATATCACTATATATTGCCGCTCAAAGGTATATTATAAAATATTTTATATAAATATATATTTCTAAATAAATATATATAATATGCTTATAATACAGATTAAAGTAAAGATATTGTTAACGGAACAATATCTTTACCGATGAAAGGAATAGCAGATAATAAGTTAGTAATAACAGTAGCCAATATAAAAATATAATTTATATGAGTTAAACCCAATATATTATATTTGTTAAAATAAATTATACCATGTACTTATTTAATTTCATATATAATACTTTATTTTTTATTAATATTATAAATAATATAAATGAAAGTAATAAAGTAAAATATTTATAATAAAATTATTAATTTTTATTATATAAATAAGCCTTGTGAAACTATATAGTTATATAGTTTATTATATCCGAGTGCACATTAAGCATCATTACAGATACCCATAATTGAACCACTCTGTAGGGATAATTTAACTTACCCATGGTCTTGTTACTTAACATATAATTTTGACCAATTTTCAATTATGTTGCATATATATTTAAAATAAATTTCTTGTTAAAAATTATATTTATTTATTTATTTATATATACTATATATTTATATTTTATATTATATAATCCCTCATTATTGATAAGAAATCATATATATATGATACATATATAATTAATATTACATATAATTACCAAATTTATATTTCATACTTGGTATAATATAAGGTTTTACTATATTAACTAAATTAGCCATAGATTCAACTCATATATATATATGTTGTTGATTATTAGTACCTGCAGATTGTATAGAACAAGTAAGGTTATATTTATTCTTAAGTATACTAATTAAAAATAATAGTTCATCATGAGTAAAACTATTAGTACTTAATTTTAAACCTTTACCTACTTTAGATCCATCATCCATAATTCAGATAGCAAGAGCTAAAGGTGTTAGATTTAATTCTAAATCTTTAGGTATAATTTTAATAAAATTACTTCTTCCTTTAATAGGGTTAGGAATATATCATTTATCATGAATACTATTAAATAAATCATAAGATCAAGTACTAAAACTAATAACTTTTCTTATTTTACCATTTTTTACTAATCTAGTAGTTATTTTAGGTATAGTAGTATTACAATAACCTAAATTAGCTATTAAACTATGTAAATATAATAAATAATCATCATGACTAGATTCTTGATAAAAAACTATTCTTGTAGCTTTGCCTTCTGAACGTTTTTCAGCATAAGCATCACCTAATAAAGAACCATAAATAATACTAATTATATCAATATTTAAAGGACTTTTAAAGTTATTAACTTTATTTCTTTTAGTAATATTAATATTAATAGGATATTTTACTTTAATTATATATGTAATATAAAATATAAATATATTTGAGGCAATGAATATACCTCAATGGGACATTTGTCCATAAACTAAACAATATCCCATAAATGCAGTTGCCATAGTTAATACAAAGATAATAACTCCTATAACTCATAACATAACTCTAGGACGTTTATAACTACCATAGTATAAAGCTTTACCAATATGTAAATACATACAAATAAAGAAGAAACTAGCACCATTAGCATGGATATAACGAATTAATCAACCAGCATTAACATCACGCATAATATGCTCAACTGAATTAAAAGCTAATTCAATATTTGAAGAATAATGCATTGCTAAGAAAATACCACTAGCAATTTGGATAACTAAACATAATCCTAATAATGAACCAACATTTCATCAATAGTTAATTGAACTAGGTTGTGGGCTATCAATAAGATAGCTATTTACTAAAGATAAGTAAGTATTACTTTTACGTATAGGCATATTTATAATATAAATATAATATTCAAAAGAGTATAAAAGATTATCATATAAAACTTAATTTTATATATGTTATATATATAATATATTATTTATATAATATATATTCTCCTATATATTAATAATAATATAAATATTTATATAAAAGAATATATATTTATATTATTCTGCAGCTTCTGATAATCATTCAATGAAATCACTAATTGAAACACATTCTAGCTTGATAGGCATAAGGCTATGATTGATACCACACAATTCACTACACTGACCGTAATATACACCGGTACGTTGTATTAATGCACTTACTTGGTTTAAACGACCAGGTGTAGCATCAATTTTAATACCTAATGAAGGTATTGTAAAACAGTGAATAACATCGTTAGCTGTAACAACAAATCTAATGTGTGTATCAACAGGTACAACAATAGAAGTATCAGTATCTAATAATCTAAGTTGTCCTTCTTCTAATAAATCGTCAGGAATAATATATGACTCAAATTCAATTGATTCTCCTGTTTCACTAACAAAGTCTGAATATTCGTATTTTCAATATCATTGTAAACCTATAACTTTAATAGTCATAGCTGGAGTTAATACTTCATCACATAAATATAATAAAATAAAACTAGGGAAAGCAATTAATAATAGTATAACAGCAGGGAATAAAGTTCATACAATTTCAATTGTTTGTCCATGTCTAATGTATTTATATGCAAATTTATTATTTTTAAAATCTTTAATAATAACATATAATAAATATGAAACTAAACCTAATATTAATGTAAGGTAATACATAATATGGTCATATAATTCATGAATACCCTCACTATTTGGTGTAGCGGAGTCTTGGAATCTGATTGCTCAAGGTGTTGGCACGTCTAATCAAATCATAATTTTAATTAATTTTATATCACATATATCTGGAATCAATCGGAATTGAACCGATAACATACGCATGCAAAGCGTAAGATTTACCAATTAATCTATAATCCCTAACTTATCATAATTTATATATTAAATTATATTTTTATATATTAAATTATAAGATTTATAAATATATATAATATTTATATATAAAATATTTTGACATGATTTGTTATTATAAATGATTAAATTTATTAGTTTATTATATCCTCTTTATTATAATAATAAAGCATAGATATATTACTATTACATTATTATCTTTAATGTTTATATAGTGAATATGTAAGGCTTAATATTTTATAAGCTATCAATATTTATCCTTTATAGTTTTAGCTTAGAATCAAATGCTCTTCACCATTGAACTATATTATATAATCCTTTCGTACACATATAATTACATATTACTATTAACGTCATAGATGATAAAATCATTACTGACTCACGTCGTAATTAACCCATCTCAAGTAACTTTTTAAACGACGAACAGTCGTACCCTTATTAGCTTCTACGACCAATAGGATAAGTCTAGACGACATCGAGGTGGCAAACATCGCTGACGATATCAACTCTCTAGCGATATTACCCTGTTCATTTATATTAACATATATATTATTTAATATATATATCTATATATCACTATATAGATTAGACTATGTCATCATCCTTATTTAAGGATGCAAGGCTTTCATGGAAGAATTATATTTTTTCATCTTCTAGTCGTTGAACGTTTACATATAAATATATATAGATATATTAATATGATTTCGCTACAAATTGTCTTATATAAGATATTTTTGTATTTAACCTTGTTTTTAAATATATTTTACACTATATAATCTAATTTATAGATTATATAACCTCAGAATGAGGATATATTGGGACAACTTATAAAATTAATTATATATATATTACATATATGATATCTCATCAAAGATGAGGGATTATATAATATAATAATATTATATTAATTTATACTAGTTGCCTACTAGTGTATCTGTACTTATTTATTCTATTATAATCTTAAAAAGATAATAACCTTATAATTTAAAACTAAGGAGTAATAAAATATAAGGGAATATAAAATATCATTTAGACACATCAGTTATATTTTGTGATGCCGACGCCCCATCGAAACTAACCATCTTATATGGTACCTTAATAAAGGTTAGTTATATATATAAAGAAATAAACATATAAATATTTAATTTAAATATTTATAGATATAACAGTATAAGAATATAGTAAAGCTGCATAGGGTCTTTTTGTCAATCTATGACTACACAGTATCTTCACTGCGATTACTATTTCACTGGGTATACCATAGATACAGCTATAGTATCGTATAATCATTCATGCGGGACACCAATTATATGCCAATGAATTTTGCTACTTTCAGATCCTCATGATAAGACCGTCGTTTATAAGTCAATTATTTATTTATCTAACTTACACCGGACAGATATCACTTACTATACCGATAGTTTCCTATTTGCAGTAAGCTGTGTTTTTGGTAAACAGTCGTACTATTCAGGCCTTGCCTTATTTGCCGAGTTCATTTATGATACTTCACCCATTCCTACTCAATATTATTTTATTTATTTAATAAAATTATATTATGATTAATATTTTAATCATATACACACCTGGGTCGGACTGCGGTACGGTTACTACATTTTCCTGTACTATCAATCATCATATATATATCTTCATATATATACTTAGATACCGTTAATTTATAGTTAAACCTTGTGTTTTGTAGGGGTAATCCTTAATTACCTATCGTTACTCAAGTCAGCATTGTCTTTATAGTTCTTATCACTATATAATCTACTACTATATAATATTTTAAATATTATATCTATTATTCGGTTCCTACATTTAGACCCGTATATTTGTTCCTATCTTTTGATTTATATATCTTAATAAAATATAAATTCTATTAGTGCATTTTTACATGTTCTTTAACAGGTGATTATTATCAAACCCACTGACTAATTGTCTGATCAAAATAATCTCTTTATGAGATATAAAGGGGTATAAATCTACCCATAGGATTGTATTCACTTAATGAGGATTTGGGACCTTCATTTAATAGTCTAGGTTATTCCCTATTCGACCTATTACCTTATCGCAATAAGTCTGACTCCTTATATGTCATATCACACCTGTTCAGAGGTTTAATACATATAGTAAATAAATTTATTCCAATATGGTATTAAGTGCTTTACCAGGGTGTACGCTATTATAAGGGCTATACTAACATATATTTCGTAGATAACCAGCTATCTGCACATCAGTTTTGCCTTTCACTACTATACACATATCTTTAGAAGATATTGCTACATCTACCTATTTGATCATATATCTCTTTAGAAATATATATCTATACATATATAGATCATGTGCTTTCGGGTCTATTCCTATAAACTATTTCTTATTATATATAATTATTATTTCGCTTATAAAAATAACTCACTGACCCATTATACAAGAGGTACACTATACTATAGTTGCTCTTTATTAATATATTTCATTATATCTCTTATATATATTATTTTATTTTAATATATAAATTAATACTTTTACTCTTTCCTTTACAGTACTTTTAACTTTATATTATAGTTTATGTATTAGTAGTAGATACTACTATATTCATACTTCAAAGTATTACTTGTATACAATAACAGATTCTCTCACCGATACTACTGTTAACCCTATTGGTTTTTACATATGTTACTAAGATGTTTCAATTCACATACCTTTTTATATACTATTTCTAGCTAGGATCGGCTTATGCCCTACTTATTTATCCTTTCTATAAT